TCTAGTTTATTTCGGATCTCCGCTCGTTTTGTGTGTTTCGTAAGCTATTTATTATTATTATTACCAAAGAACTGACTATAGTAGGGTTTCCGAGTTTTCTGTGTCCCCTGCTGGTGCTAGGTTTTTGCTGGGAAGGATAGCAGGGATGCCACTCAACATTTTTTTAAATAGCTGAAAATCCACGCACCACGGTCTCGCTAACATAAATATGAATACATGTACATGTATAAATTTGAAACCCAATTTTTTTCCAACTATAGATTCTATCTCGATCTCAATAACGGAATAGCGGATCAGGATCAAAATATCGGAAAAAGCGGGAAAAAGCGAAAAAAAAAGCGGAAAAGTGGCATCCCTGGGATAGGTAGCGACATGACGTCACCAGCAATGAGCCGCTGTGCCCCCACCCGCCACCTCCACAACGTCACCTTCCTGGTCATCTGTTGTAGCGCCATGACGTCATTTCTCCTTCTCCTCCACGTCACACAGACCGGAAGTCCCAGGCACACAGACCTGCTCAGTGACGCGACCTACGATGACGACACCCGAGGTTTGAACCAACACGCTGGAGCAACAAGGCCGCGCCGTGAGAGAACTCCGACCTCGGGGGTCATGCCGGACATTTCAGAGGTCACGACCCTTCACCCTTCACTCCGTGAGTTCCTCGCGAGGCCCGTGATCAACCCTCACCCATTCACCTACCTGCTCACCCCAGAGCGCACGTGCGAGGCGGGTCACGTGACCTTTCTCTTCAGCGTGCCGTCCGCGCCCTCCAACTTCCAGCGGAGACGAAAAGTACGGCGATCCAGTCTGGCCACATTTGCGAAAAACCCTGGAAACAACGCGTCCTTGTTGTTCTTCCTGGGCTCCCCGCCCGGTCACTCTAAGCGAGCCAACAACACCAGGGCTCAGATCTACAAAGAGGCCAGGAACTACCAGGACATGGTTCTGGAAAACTTCCCAGATATCTACAGAAACATCCGCCTCAAGGCTGTATCCATGCTCAAGTGGACGAGCACGTATTGCCACACCGCGCTCTACGTCATCAGAACGGACGATGACGTGGGCGTTGACGTCATGAACCTGGTGCAGGCAATACGTCACGTGGGGCGGGGGAGGGACAACTTCATCTTAGGTCACGTGGTGGAGAATTCCAAACTCATCCGGCGGGAGAGTTCCAAATATTTCATATCCCGAGAAGAGTACGCGGAAGATACGTGGCCAAAGTTTGCCCTAGGCGGGGTGTTGGGCTACCCCGTCAAGACGGTGAGACTTTTGTACGAGGCTTCACTCAGGGTCAAGGCCGTGTGGCTGGAGGACGTGTACATTACGGCTCTGTGTGGGCGGGCGGTCAATGCCACGCTCCTGTCTCATCCTCTCTTCACCTTTGTGCACTGACCGGAGTGACTCATCGTCGTTGTCATCACCATCATTGTCATCATCATCATCATCATCATCATCATCATCATCATCATCATCATCATCATCATCATAGTCGTCGTCGTCATCATCATCATCATCATCATCATCATCATCATTATCACCATCATCATCATCATCATTATCTTCATCACCATCATTATCATCATCATCGTCGTCGTCGTCATCATCATCATTATTACTTTTGTTATTACTGTCTTCTTTCTTATATTGCTTTTATTACTATTACTATTATTACTGTTTTTATCATTATTAAT